GAAAAACTCTGAAAAAGAACAAAGAGTAGGCCTAGCATTTCCCAACAATTAAAACATACTATAAAACCTCCATAATTAAAATCTTTTGATATTGATGCATGAAAATACAGATAAACCAATGGAACAAAATAGAAAAGCCAGAAATATACCATTTGCATATGTAAATTTAGTGCACAATAAAAGTGGCTCCTCAAGTCAATAGGGAAGTGATAGTCTTCTAAAATGTGTCCTTGAAATAAACGGAAGAGCCATGTGGAAAAAAAAATAAAACTAGATCCAGTCCTCACAAAATATACCAGGAGAAATTCCAAATGGATTAGAGATGTAAATGTAAGAAAAGGAAGCATATAAGTGCTATTTTCAAAAATTGAGTGTGTTCACCTATAATCCGAAAGTATAGAAAATGTTCTAAACTATTACTTAACATCCAGAAACAATAAGGGAAAAGATTGTTGTATTCAACTACATGAAAATAAAAATAAAAACTTTTGCATGGCAAAGAATCACCATGAGCAAAATAAAGATAAATGACAAAATTGAAAACATATTTGCAATTTATATCACCATGCTTCCAAAAATAAAGAAGGTAAAGGCCTTCTAAGCCAATGAGCTGATATAAATAGTTGTAACAGGAAAAGAAATGCAAATGGCTCTTAAACATCTGAAAATATGCTCGATTTCACTCATAATAAGACAAAGGCAAGTTAAAAGTTACACTGAGATGCCATTTCTCATCTATCAGATTTGCCAGAAAGCCAGAAATTTTACTACATACTCCGTTGGCAAGGCGGTGGGAAGACAGTCATTCTTCTACATTGCTATGGGAATGCAAAATGGTGAAACTTTTGGGAAGGGGAATATAGAAATATCTAACAAAACTGTGTAAGCTCTTATTCTTTGATCCAGCAATTCCAATTCTAGGGACTCAAATATATGGTAGCAAAAATATGAAAAGACATGGGCACAAAGCTCTTCATTGTACACTCTAAGAGCAAAAATAGGAAGCATCTTAGACGAACATTGATAGAGGACTGGTTGAATTAACTATGATACATCTACCCAATGGAAGACTATCTCTATACTGCTGTGGAGTGATCTTTAGGATATAATGCAGAGTTTCTCAGTGGTGACACTGTTGACATTTTGAGTCAGATAGTTCTCTGTTGCAGGGGGCTGTCTTTTGCATCTTAGGATGTTTAGCAGCATCCTTGCCCTTTACCCACTAGATTGCAGGAACACCCCTTTCCCTAGTTGTTACAACCAAAAATGTCTCCAGACATTGCCTAATGTCCCCTGGGGGACAAAGTCTTCCCCAATTGTGAACCATTGATATAATGTTAAGTGAAATAGCATGTTGGGTAAAAATGTATACAATATGTTTATATTAACAAAATAGATGGATGAAACATAACATTAATAAAATGATTACCTGTGGGAAAAGGAGGGAATACAGTGAAGGAGAAAGATATAGAAGCTCAACTTCTTTGACTATAACGTTTTTGTAAATTTAGCATTGGCACTTTTACAAGTAATATAAAACAAAAATAAATGTTAAAAAAAGCAAGTCTAGGGCCGGCCCAGTGGCATAGTGGTTAGGTTCCCGCATTCTGCTTCAGCAGCCCAGGGTTCGCCGGTTCAGATGCTGGGCACAGACTTACTACCGTTCATCAAGCCATGCTGAGGCAGTGTCCCACACAGAAAAGCTAGAAGGACCTACAACTAGGATATACAACTATGTACTGGGGCTTAGGGGAGAAAAAAGAAAAAGAGGAAGATTGGCAACAGATGTTAGGTCAGGGCTAATCTTCCTCAAAAAAAAAAGCAAGTCTAAACTTGGAAAGTAAATGGAAGCAAATGAACATATATGTGTATCCAACTGGTAGCATATCTACACAAAGAAGAACTATTCTAAGTGACTTTAAACATACTAATTTGACTGTATATCCCTAGTGGAGGACAAAAAGAACTGCAAAATAATATTAAATTGTTTTGAATGATTATAATTATAATGTAATTATAGTAACAATGTTGGTGTTGTTATTCTGAGGCTTGTGTGTGTGTTTCAGATAAAGTAATGAATAATTATGACGTCACTGAGCGTGAGAAATTTCAGCATGGGAGAAAGGAGCTACAGATGTAAAAAGAATGAGATTAAGTAAAAACCTGGATGCCATAATTTTGAATTGGAAGTATCAGTAGAAACTCATGAAAAAATTATTAACAACAAAAAACTTTGCCGACTCTGTCCACTGAAAAAAACCTAGACACAGTAGCAAATCCAACAGCAATGAACATTCCTAGCACCAGATCATGGTCTCTAAATGCCATTTCTAATTAAAAAGAAACCAAGGCTTTTTGGAGAAATGGATAATTCAGGGATGGGGCAGAAAATGTACAAGGTGACCATAGAAAAAATTACCAGTATCAATTATTAGAAAGCAAGGAAGCTATCAAAGACTACTAGGATTGTGTCGGAACATCTCAAGGGCCAACGTAAAGAGGCTCCCATTGGCCAAGGAAGGACCATTTGTGCACTGATAAGTATAGCAACTGCGATGGACAGGAGCATATTAGATGTGACTAAACTCATGAGCTCATAATGATGCTTGAGAAAAGCACCTCATTGGTCAATTTGAGAAGAGCTGGAGAACCAACTCATTATTTTGAAATGATAAATAAAGGAAAAGAATTAAGTATTTATCCTGCCTTTCCTATGTGAAGTGTACTTCAGAGTAACCAAATAATTAAAAAGGAATTTCTTTTTAGAATTATTCTAACTAATAAGTGAGGAAGAAATCATAGAACTAAAACATTACTATTTTGCAATTTTTAATGAATTAATGATACCTATGTAATTATCATCAATGGTTGCTAATATCACAGAACAAGAGAAAGAACAAGATATTATGTCTCTCCGGGTGGAAGTCCACTATATCACCCATGAGGAATTTTTGTCAAAATAAAAAGAGAAGAAGAAAAAGGAAATTGAAGTTGAAGCTTATCAAGCATCCTAGATCAAACTACGAATTTATAAGGAATACAGGGTACCAGGGACAGAGGACGTGTAGAACAAAACCACAGGGATGCAATAAGCAAAATTCAGACTGTGGGAATTAAAGAGAGAATGGTTCAGTTTATTCAATGCCAATCATAACAACATAAAAATTGCAGGGAAATAGAAAAAGAGAGAGGGAGAACCTATAAATTAAAAGATAATTTGGGCCGGCTCCGTGGCTTAGCGGTTAAGTGCACGCGCTCTGATGCTGGCGGCCCGGGTTCGGATCCCGGGAGCGCCCCGAGGCACCACTTCTCCGTCCAACGTGAGGCCGAGTCCCACGTACAGCAACTAGAAGGATGTGAACCTATGACATACAACTATCTACTGGGGCTTTGGGGGGAAAAAACTGAATAAATAAAATCTTTAAAAAAAAAAAAAAAAAAAGATAATTTAAGCTGGTCCGGCCTAGTGGCACAGTAGTTAAGTGCGTGGGCTCCTCTTCAGGTGCCCAGGGTTCGCAGGTTCGGATCCTGGGCGCACGCCTACGCACCACATGTCAAGCCGTGTTGTGGTGGCGTCCCATATAAAGTAGAGAAAGATGGGCATGGATGTTAGCCCAGGGACAATCTTCCTCAGCAAAAAAGAGGAGGGTTGGCATTGGATGTTAGCTCAGGGCTGATCTTCTTCCCCCCCAAAAAAAAGATAGTTTAAGGACATGTCAACCAAATGCAATGTTTGGACCTTACTTGCATATCATGATTAAAATATAATCATATTTTAATAATATTTAATCATTTTATGAAATATATATACATATGTATACAAACATATATAACATGTTAAAAAATTATAGAAATATGAACACTAACAGAATATTTAATGATATTAAGGAATTACTGTTTTCTCTGTTTAGATGCAATAATGGCATTTTGTGTGTGCATGTGTGTGTGTGTGTGTATCTTTCAGAGATACATACTGAAATTATATGATCACTGGGATTTGCTTCAAAATAATATGGGGGAGCAGATGGGGATGAATGGATATATAGACAAACCAAGATTAGCCATCAATTGATCATTGTCAAAGCTGAGTGATGAATACATGAGAGTTCATTAAACTATTACTTTTATATCTTCCTGAAAATTTTTATAATAAAATGCTTTATAAAAGAAAACAATGGGGCGGCCCTGTGGCTTAGCGGTTAAGTGCGCATGCTCCACTACTGGCGGCCCGGATTCGTTTCCGGGGCCCACACCAACGCACTGCTTGTCCGGCCATGCTGAGGCAGTGTCCCACATACAGCAACTAGAAGGATGTGCAACTATGACATACAACTATCTACTGGGGCTTTGGAGAGAAAAAGGAGGAGGATTGGCATGGATGTTAACTCAGGGCTGATCTTTCTCATAAAAAAAAAAAAAAAAGAAAAGAACTTGAGAACTTCATATTTTAGCTGTCGTTAGTACCACATTCTTTGCTAGCCACCTCCTATCTGAAGGAGAGCCGCAGTGTGTGGACGCTGCAGTTGAGAAGCTCGGATTGCTCTGAGAATGCCACTTCTGTGGTCCCTCCTTCCTTTCCTCTGCCTCTTCTCTGTTACTCTTCCCATCCTGTCACTGCCTCCCCATCAAGCCTGCTATAGGCAGCCCATAACAAGAACTTAAGATAATAGGAATTTAACAACCTAAGGTCACCTTGTGCTCTCTTACATTGTGCCTCAAATAATCCTATTGAATTATCACCCCCTGGGGCAGTCTCAGCTATTCAATTAATAGTGATAATATTGATCAGCTCATAGTTTATGTTCCTGCTAATGTGAACTACTGGTTTATTGTCAACCTCTAATTACAGAGTGTTTTCATATGAGATCTTCCTACATATTGAGATAGCTGCTAGAAGCTAGGATCCAGAGACATGGAGGGAGGAAAGAGGGAGGAGGCCTCTTTTACTAGCAATGAGTGAATTGGCATCGGTCATCACTCTTGTCTTCTTTTAACCATAGGTATTCATCAAAGTGCTGGATAATAATGATAATGGCCCAGAATTCTCTCAGCCAAATTACGATGTGACAATTTCCGAGGATGTGCTTCCAGATACAGAGATACTGCAGATTGAAGCCACAGATAGAGATGAGAAGCACAAGCTGAGCTATACTGTCCACAGCAGCATCGACTCCGTCAGTATGAGAAAATTCCGGATTGACCCCAGCACTGGCGTGCTCTACACTGCCGAAAGACTGGACCATGAGGCTCAGGACAAGCACATTCTCAACATAATGGTAGGACCAAACTGCTAATTTGCTCTCCTAGCAGAATCATTGACCATTCAAGACACACATCTTAATCTTCAGAAGCACAGGGCCCTTAAATTTTGTAAGTAGTAGTAAATTTGGTCTTTCACAGCAGGGTTGCATTCATTTTGCCTTTTATTTCAGTGAGGAATTACTAGAGTTAGATAGCGACTCCATATTTTTGCCAAACTGAAATATTAGTGAGTTCTGCAGACAGTGGCTGTTCAGTAAATGCTGCTGACAGGCTGACTTGAGAGGGAAGGAACAGGCTATGTTTCTGTAAATCTCCCAGGCTGTAGTATTGATTCACATCCAGAAGATTTTGTGGAAAAGTTTAAAAGAAGTTCCTTGAGAAGTTAATCACAAGGGTAATCATTTACTCAACCTATGCAATGCTCAGTCCTTGGAAGCATTTAGAGAACTGATTTATTACTTATTGCGTTGCCATTGGACTTCATCCCAAAACACACAAAACTGCAGAGAGTGTTAAGTCTGATTTTGGGTTCATGGGGCCTCCAAATTATGTAGGAGAAGCTGCCTTTAATTTTAGAGTGAAGTTTGCCAAGTTCACATAATTGGGAAGTAGAGATTAATAAGAAACATCTTTGATTAGTTTATGGCCTAAAATCTGTCCCTTTAGCCACTCAAAAACCCTATGGGCAGTTCCACAGCCACTGCCTAAAGTTCCTTAAGATCAGGTAGGATGACAGAGACTTCATCTTGTGTACTGATTGGCTCTGAAATACACGAAGATGCTACCAATTCCCAAGCAGCTGAAAGTAATGTTCCACTAAGTGCTGCTCCTCCTTCCCAAGCCTGGAAAACTTCCTGGACAAGAGGAAACTTGAGCGTGTGCCCTTGGCTATGGCTTCCAGCTGAGACTCCAGGAAACAGAAGAGGGACTCATAAGGATCATCAAATTCATTCATTCATTCAACAGATATTTCTCATTGGGTACCAAGCTCCATTCAAGGCACTGAGGATATAAGAGACAAAGTCCTTGCACCCTTGGACATTAGGTTGGAACAGACTTAGATTTCAGTAATCCCTAAATACGGAATCCAGCTTGGTCTTTGAGTGTGGCAGGCCAGTTTACAGGCAGGGAAATTCAGCACACTCACTGGGTTACTTTTGCGTGATTTCTTCAGGGATGGAAACATTATGCCAGTGACTAACTCCATTCTCACAATTCTTCAAGTCATTTCTGTTCATTCTTTCCTTAACAAACTCAAAATTCAGTTTGGTCACTCTGTCCCATTTATCATGTATGTAATTGAATATTTAGAGCAAACAATTCCTTTATGCTGCCTTTCTCCAACCTAAGCCATTTTAGTCATTTTTGCTCCTTCCTTCTAGGAACTATTTCTGAAAACCCCTTTCCCTTTGATGGCTCTTCTCGGTATATTTTCTAATTTCTTCACATCTCTCTGAAGTTATGGAATCTAAAATTGAGCAAACGGAAAGCGCACATTTGATTAGTCCTACATAAAATTATAGCAAAATCATGCGGTTAGAGTGAAAGAATTGATTATTTGCGAGCTTCTGCCATACGCAAACCAGGGGAAACTTGAAAGCAGTCAGGCAAGGTTCTTTGGTGAAGTCACAGTGGGGGTCTCACATTTTAGAAGTTTAGATTCTGTTCATCTTCCCAGCAATCGGTGTTCCCTCTCAGTCTGGGCCTTGTATGTATTGGCTCTTCTTGCCCATAATATGTGCGCCACGCCACCACCACCATTTTACCACTTCTACTTGTTTTTGTTGCCTCTCCGAAGAAGTTGAATGCTAGATTAGGATACTCTTACTACTCACTCCCATCCTGGCACTTACCACCTGGCCTTATGCCTATCTATTTACTTGTTTGTATTCGCCACTCAACTATTAGCTTCTCAAGGGCAAGGACTATATCTAATTCACTGCTCAAACTCCAGAGTCAAGCCAGGGACTTGACAGATAATAGGTGATAGTAAATGTATGTTGAATGAATGAATGAATGACAATGCCTACATTGCATTCATTAATTCCACTATTTAGTTTCCCCTTCAGAAGGGCCTCCATCCACTGTTCCGTTAGCAGCTGTATACACAAATGATAAGGGGGTAGTGGCTGGGGGTTGTGGGGCAGAGGAACGTGCTGTGTTTGTGATATCCAGGCATCAGTTCCACAAACACAGACTGAGCACAGACCACAGGCCAGGCATAAGGCTGAGCAATAAAGATGATGTGGCCCCTGCTCTCTATTTGTTCACAGTGTCCTGACTTGATTATACCACCATTTATTGAGCACCTACTGTGTGCTTGGGACTGGGTCAAGCACTTTGTGTGCGTTATCTCATTTTGTTTTCACCACAGACATAGCCATGTGAGTTGATTGCAATTTAAGATTTTAGTCCTACTGCTTCTTGTATTTTGCCTAAAGGTCAGAGATCAGGAGTTTCCATATCGAAGAAACTTGGCCCGAGTCATTGTGAATGTGGAAGATGCTAATGATCACAGTCCTTATTTTACCAACCCACTGTATGAAGCATCTGTGTTTGAATCTGCTGCTCTGGGATCAGCTGTTCTGCAAGTGACGGCTTTGGACAAAGACAAAGGGGAAAATGCAGAACTCATATATACCATAGAAGCAGGTGAGAGCTGTTGCACAGATTGCAGTGTGTTGCATGGCACTCGACCCTCAGTAGTATTTATCACCATGTAAAATTCACATAGTTACTGCTGGAACGTCTCCAAATGAATTTTTTGGCCAAGCAACTGCCCTATGTGCATGATGATGGTGTATAAAGTTCTTGGCATTTCTATAATATGTTTTCCATCGTTGACAGCGAGAGAAGAGTTTCCTCTTATTGTGTCATTCTCGGATTTTTCTGGAATGGGGAAGAGAGAAGAAATGTGTAATAAGCTCAGTGGCTTTTACCTATGGATCAACAAGCCACAGCCTCGGACTAAAATAACCAGATCCTTCCATCATTTGAGGGCTTCCCGACTATTGTGTGAATTGAATCTTACATGTCTTTGTTTACTTTTCAGTAGGTGAGCTGTGGGCTCAGAAATTCCTCAACCCCCGCAGTTAGCACAAATTCACTTCATTGGAGGCAATCAGAGTAGCAGAATAGTTGGCAGGTAATGAACTACCTGCTTAACCTGACAAATAAATAAATACAGGCTCTCGTTCTATTAAATTTGAGATTTTTTAAAATCGATTTTAACACCTATAAGTCAAGACCATACTTTACTGACAGTTTGAAGATGGACAGGTAGAAAACATTTATGCTGGAAGAGATGAATGTCCAAGCAAGGGATAGCACCGTGAACCTAACAATTACAAATATCCTTTATCTGCTCTATTTTCCCTTCCCCTCTTGTCTTTTTTGAACATTCAAGCCACATATTTCCAAAATTTTCTGCAACATTATGTCTGTCGTGCATAATTCTAAATGCTATCTCCTTTCGTGCCAGCACTGGAAATGCTTCTTTCCTGTGATTTAAATGTGGAGCATTTTTGTGAGTGGTTGAATTAAAATATGAATGCTAGAATGACAGTTTTGGACTAAAAAATATCAGAAAAAGAAAGACCAACAACCTTCTTTTAAAAAAAGCCACTGCATTGAATGATAATCTAAACTATTTCTTGTATTAGGCACCCACATTTTATATGAGTCTAAGTTCTGTACAAAAAAAAAGGAAAGAAAAGACGTTGGTTCATAACAGCCAGGTGCCCCAAGCGAATTCACTCATTTCTTTTCTAGATTTCCATGGAATTTTCTTTCAACCTAAAGCCTGACCAATACTTTTTTTAAAAATGCTACTTTGAGTCTCTTGTTTAATGCAAGACCTTTTTATTATTTAATTATAAATACTTGTTCCTCTGTTTCCACAATTAATACAGCGAAACTTCTTTTTCAGAAATGAAGATTTAAATAACATCACAGAAAATGTCGCCAAATCCAACAATTCTTTATGTTCTTTCTACAGTTTTTTCCTAATCTTATCTATTTTTTCTTTTCCCCATGTTCATTCATGCATATACATTGTTTCACGTCATTATAATCATTTAGCTATAGGGTTTTATTTCTACTTTTTTTACTTAACATTTTCTAAGCATTTGTCGGTGTGTCTACTTGCTTTTTATATTTGTCATTAAGGCTACCACTTATACTCTTCTTAGATAGCCAGATAATTTTTAAGCCAATTTGGAGGTTTTTAAAGAGTAATTTACCATTCAGCTGAAAAGACTGCCTCCCTTATCTTTTAACCTCCACAGACTACAGCTGGTGCTGTGCAGAGAGAGGGAATTCAGTCATTTCTTTAACAGCTGACTACAACTAGAGAGACAAGTTATTTCCTTAAAACATCTTTTATATAGAAAATTTAAATTTCCAGAAACCCACAGGAATAATTGGTATCTCAAAAAATGTTCTTTGATAGTATGTGTAAAAAGATAATGAGAATTTCAGTGGGTACGATAAGTCTCAAGTGGTCCGTGGGCCCCCTCACAGACAGTCAGGCCTACACCAGACCTGGACAGATCCTAGCCAAGCCGGTGTCTTCTCAGATCATGATAGGAGAGAGGCAGATCCCAGATGCCTCAGCATTTTGAAGCAAATGACAAGTGGTTGTGTAAAGTGTACATTTTAAGTTCTCTCACAAACCTCAGATAAACAAGATTTTACTCTGTTTACTGGTGGGCCATAAATTTTCTCCCCTGCTTGGCCTCTAAAGGAACTACAGAAGCTCTTTGTTTCGACCTGAGGGATTGAGGTGGAATTCGAGTGCAGAGCTTCAGTTGTTATATTTAGCTCAGGTTTCTGTCTGGTTCATGGGAGCCTCCGAGACAGGGCCGTACAGGAGAAACCAGGACTGAGAACTGAGTTAGGATGGGGGCACATTGGATCCCAAGATGCAGACAGATAGCAAACTGAAAGTCATTTTTAGATCTGCCTCTCCCCTCAATCTTTCAACAAATATTTATGGAGCACCTTCTTTGTGCCAGGCATTGTGCTGGGTACTAGATAAATAAGAAGTAAGATAAGCACAGCTTTTACCCAGTTGCCAAAAGTCTATAAGAAGCCAGAGATTCCAAGAAAACAAGAGGTTAGTTTCCAAGGACTCGAGTATAGCAGGACAGAATAAGCAGGAAGTGGATTCTAAGAAATGGGACAGTATGTTAAAGAGGGAAAGAGACAGAGAGCCCACGTTGGACCTGATGTGTGAGCACAGCCTCCTGGGGTGTAACAAGCAGCTCACCCGCCATGGGACAGCAGGATTGTGAAGTTCTGCTTGAGGTCGGAAGCTGCCCTTCATCCCTGCCATGTATATCTTACTGGGCGTGAAGAAATGTGCTGGGCCTCGAGGAGGGAGGACTTAGCTGAAAACTGTGAATGGGACATCAAAATTGTTGGACACAGAGAGACTTGGCTCTGTTGTACTCATCATTCAGGGTTGCATGTTGGGGCCATTGCTGGAAGGTGACCATTGCTCAGGTATCTCTATATTTCCCTCCTCTGAGATGCTGAAGTGAAATGATTCCTGCCTCCTACTGAGGGTCTACGAATCAAATGTTGGACTCACACTCAATTCCGTGGTGCTGTTTATGAAGCTTGCTCATGAGATTATTGAACTGTGTGTTGTTGTCATCACAAAATGGTCACGTTTAGGTGGCAAAGTGAAAAATCATGCTGACATCAAAGATAATATTGTTTAATACTCACACTTGGGGGCTGGAATCAAATTCTTTACCTCTTTATTATTATTTACTTATCAAATTACTTACCTCTTATAAAAATAAGCAAGTATCTTATAGAAATGGATTTTATTTGAACATGACTTGTTAATTTTAAACATGGAAATGTTTATTTAATAAGTATGTGTACAGCAGTATTTGCTGTATATTTCAATAGACACATATGACTGCCCTCTCAATCCTGGAGCCTATCTTAATGATAATGACATTCAACCCGTTTATATGTCTGCCATATAAGTTCTGTCTACAGAACTTCAAAAAGAAAGAAAAATCCAGATATAATGTTATTCATTTTTATTCAACATTTTTAACTTTTGGTTTAAAAGAATTAGACACACAAGCATGTGAGTTCTTTGAGAAGTATCAAAAAGCCTGATGAAAGAAGCAGAAAGCCACTTGGTGAAGGATTCTGCTTTACATTGTCCACTACTTTGGAGCTACGTTCTTTACATTCTTCAAGTTTCGTGTTCCCCATTCTTGACTCCTCTCTTATTTTCCTCATCCTCAGCCATCCCAGATTTCACAGCTCTGTGTGTTTCAGAGGCAGACTCTAAACTCCTACAGCGTCACGGTTCACAGCCCTTCCCATTTCAATTATGTCAAAGTGGAGGGCCAGTTTCTCCGTTTCGTAAGGGTTATGCTTCAAGTTCTTTGGTTTCAATGCTTGTTCAGATTATCAAGGGTTTCCTACCTGACCAGAAACCTCTCAAGTACTTGCTGAATAGAATGATTACAGATTGGAGCAACTGCCTTGTAATTTTTATGTCTAGTTTTGTATCTGTGCATGCATGCATGTTTTGGGGGGTGGGGGAGTGAAGAATAGAAGGGTAGTCAGAAAAAGTCCTCACAGCTTACAAAGCAAAAAGTGACTTGGGGAGAATTTTTCATATCTGAACAAAATCCCACTCGCCAAAGTAGTATTCGGAATGAAGTTGGTTTGATAGGGTGAAACAATACCAATTCCTTGTAGCAAAGCTTACCTTTGGGATAATCTGAAACAAAATGACTACGTTATAATGTTCTGAAACAATTCCTACTACTCTTTTTCTCATAATGTAAAATGCAGATTATGGCACTGGTTTAGGTATAAATACCTTTTACCAGTAGCATTGGCATGTGCCAGCCCAATCTGTTCCTCTTTTCTCAAAGCTGGCCTTGAGAGAAGTCCTACACATTCTTAACAGAAAATCTCTCCTACAAACTCTCTTATTTCCCAGTTTGAATGTACACAGTATTGTGGTGGTGTTATTAACCTAGATTATGAAGATACCGATCCAAAATTCACAATTTTACTGAAAAACTCATTTCAGTTGCTTTTGAATACCCCAAAAAGAGAAGTCTGTCATTTTATTTCAGAATGAGATGGAATGAATACAAATAATTGCTTTCTACTTGCCATGTTGCAGTAAAGTAGCCTTCAGATGAAGAGTTAATCTTCAAAAAATGACCCACTTGTAACTCATTTCCCCATTGATTTCTATATTGTAGGGAACACTGGGAACACATTTAAGATCGAACCAGTCCTGGGCATCATCACTGTTTCCAAAGAACCAGACATGACTACGATGAGTCAGTTTGTCCTGTCAGTCAAAGTCACAGATCAGGGTTCCCCGCCAATGTCTGCCACCGCAATTGTGCGCATCTCTGTCACCATGTCTGATAATTCTCACCCCAAGTTCGCTCACAAAGACTACCAAGCAGAAGTAAATGAAAATGTTGATATTGGAACATCAGTCATTCTAATCTCTGCCATCAGTCAATCTACCCTCATTTATGAAGTCAAAGATGGAAACATTAATGGGATCTTTACCATAAATCCATATTCTGGGGTCATCACCACTCGGAAGGCACTGGATTATGAGCGTACTTCCTCGTATCAGCTCATCATTCAAGCCACTAACATGGCAGGAATGGCTTCCAATGCCACAGTCAATATTCAGATTGTTGATGAAAATGATAACGCCCCAGTTTTTCTCTTTTCTCAGTATTCGGGCAGCCTTAGTGAGGCTGCCCCCGTCAATAGCATTGTCAGAAGCTTGGATAACAGCCCACTGGTAATTCGAGCCACTGATGCTGACAGCAACCGGAATGCTCTGCTTGTGTATCAGATTGTGGAGTCCACGGCCAAGAAGTTCTTCACAGTGGACTCCAGTACAGGTGCAATCAGAACAATTGCCAACCTGGACCATGAAACCATTGCCCATTTCCATTTTCATGTGCATGTGAGAGACAGTGGTAGCCCCCAGCTGACTGCAGAGAGTCCCGTTGAAGTCAACATAGAGGTGACAGATGTGAATGATAACCCGCCTGTGTTCACTCAGGCTGTGTTTGAGACTGTCTTACTTTTACCTACATATGTTGGAGTGGAGGTTCTGAAAGTTAGTGCCACGGATCCTGACTCTGAGGTGCCCCCTGAACTGACATACAGCCTAATGGAAGGCAGCTTGGATAGTTTTTTAATTGACTCAAATAGTGGAGTGCTGACCATAAAAAACAACAACCTTTCCAAAGATCACTATATGCTGATAGTTAAAGTGTCTGATGGAAAGTTCTACAGTACATCCATGGTCACCATCTTGGTTAAAGAAGCCATGGACAGTGGCCTCCACTTTACACAAAGCTTTTACTCCACCTCAATCTCAGAGAACAACACTAACATAACCAAAGTTGCTATTGTCAATGCCGTTGGAAATCGCCTTAATGAGCCCTTAAAATATAGCATCTTAAACCCAGGAAATAAGTTCAAGATAAAATCTACCTCAGGGGTCATTCAGACCACTGGAGTCCCCTTTGACCGTGAAGAACAAGAGTTATATGAGCTGGTGGTGGAAGCCAGCCGTGAGCTGGACCATCTGCGTGTGGCTAGGGTTGTGGTCAGGGTTAACATCGAAGACATAAATGACAACTCTCCAGTCTTTGTGGGCCTCCCTTACTATGCTGCTGTGCAAGTTGATGCTGAGCCTGGGACTCTGATTTACCAAGTGACAGCCATTGACAAAGATAAAGGTGCAAATGGAGAAGTGACCTATGTCTTACAGGATGACTATGGCCACTTTGAAATTAACCCTAATTCAGGGAATGTTGTTTTAAAAGAAGCATTCAATTCTGACTTGTCCAACATTGAGTATGGAGTCACCATCCTAGCCAAAGATGGTGGAAAACCCTCTTTGTCCACATCCGTGGAACTTCCCATCACTATTGTCAACAAAGCAATGCCTGTGTTTGACAAGCCCTTTTATACAGCATCTGTCAACGAAGACATCAGAATGGACACCCCCATTCTAAGCATCAATGCCACCAGTCCAGAAGGCCAAGGCATCATATATATTATTATTGACGGAGATCTTTATAAACAGTTTAACGTTGACTTTGACACCGGGGTCTTGAAAGTCATTAGCCCTTTGGATTATGAAATTACATCTGTTTACAAGCTGACAGTAAGAGCCAGTGATGCCCTTACTGGTGCCAGGGCTGAAGTCACTGTTGACTTGCTAGTTAATGATGTAAATGACAACCCCCCTATTTTTGATCAACCTACATATAATACAACATTATCTGAAGCATCTCTTATTGGAACACCTGTTTTGCAAGTTGTCTCTACTGATGCAGACTCAGAAAACAATAAAATGGTACATTATCAGATTGTCCAGGATACTTACAACAGCACAGATTATTTTCACATAGACAGTGCAAGTGGCTTAATACTGACAGCACGGATGCTGGACCATGAGTTAGTGCAACACTGCACTTTGAAAGTGAGAGCAACAGATAATGGCTTCCCATCGCTGAGCAGCGAGGTCCTGGTTCATATCTACATCTCAGATGTAAATGACAACCCTCCAGTTTTTAATCAGCTCATCTATGAGTCCTATGTGAGTGAATTAGCCCCCCGGGGCCATTTTGTAACCTGTGTGCAAGCCTCTGATGCAGACAGCTCTGATTTTGACCGGTTGGAATATAGCATTTTATCTGGGAATGACCGGACGAGCTTTCTGATGGACAGCAAGAGTGGCATCATCACACTGTCCAACCACCGGAAGCAGCGGATGGAGCCCCTGTACAGTCTCAATGTGTCAGTCTCTGATGGGTTGTTCACCAGCACCGCACAAGTGCATATCAGGGTACTCGGGGCTAACCTGTACAGCCCTGCCTTTTCACAAAGCACCTATGTAGCTGAGGTGAGAGAGAATGCGGCCGCTGGGACAAAGGTAATTCACGTTCGAGCCACAGATGGGGATCCAGGGACATACGGGCAGATCAGCTACGCCATCATCAATGACTTTGCTAAGGATCGATTCCTCATAGACAGCAATGGACAGGTCATCACGACAGAAAGACTCGACCGGGAAAACCCTCTGGAAGGAGACATTAGCATTTTTTTGAGGGCCCTCGATGGTGGAGGGAGAACGACTTTCTGCACTGTGAGGGTGATTGTTGTGGATGAAAATGACAATGCTCCCCAGTTCCTGACAGTGGAATACAGAGCCAGTGTCAGGGCAGACGTTGGAAGGGGACACTTGGTCACTCAGGTTCAAGCCATGGATCCAGACGATGGAGCCAATTCAAGGATTACTTATTCCCTGTATAGCGAGGCCTCGGTCTCAGTGGCTGACCTCCTGGAAATCGATCCTGACAATGGCTGGATGGTCACAAAGGGCAATTTTAACCAGTTGAAAAACACAGTGCTGTCATTCTTTGTCAAAGCAGTAGATGGGGGCATTCCAGTAAAGCACTCCCTCATTCCTGTCTATATCCATGTCTTGCCCCCCGAAACATTCTTGCCTTCATTCACCCAGTCTCAATATTCTTTTACTGTTTCAGAAGATACAGCCATTGGGAGCACGGTGGACACCCTGAGGATTTTGCCCAGTCAGAATGTCAGGTTCAGCACAGTTAATGGAGAACGACTAGAAAATAACAAAGGGGGTGTCTTCATCATAGAACAGGAAACAGGCACGATCAAGCTTGACAAACGCCTTGATCATGAAATTAGCCCAGCTTTCCACTTTAAAGTAGCAGCAACTATACCCCTGGACAAGGTAGACGTTGTGTTTACCGTAGATGTAGATATCAAGGTATTGGATTTGAATGACAACAAGCCAGTCTTTGAAACTTCAAGCTATGAGACGATCATAATGGAAGGGATGCCGGTCGGCACCAAACTCACACAGGTGAGAGCTATTGATGTGGATTGGGGAGCCAATGGGCAGGTCACTTACTCCCTCCACTCGGATTCCCAGCCTGAAAAGGTAATGGAAGCATTCAATATTGACAGCAACACAGGCTGGATCAGTACCTTGAAGGACCTGGATCATGAGACAGACCCTGCATTCACCTTCTCCGTGGTGGCCTCTGACCTCGGAGAGGCCTTCTCTCTTTCTTCCACGGCTTTGGTCTCTGTCAGGGTGACAGATATAAATGACAACGCACCAGTCTTTGCCCATGAGGTGTACCGAGGTAATGTGAAGGAGAGTGACCCACCAGGAGAGGTGGTGGCCGTCCTCAGTACGTGGGACAGAGACACTTCAGACATTAATCGCCAAGTGAGCTACCATATTACAGGTGAGTGCCACCCTCAGTTTCCACTATGTGCTCTGCTTTCTCGAGAAAGATGGAAAGTGGCAGGAGGTAAGAGTAAGAGAGAAAAAGGAGGATGAGATGAGGGACTGAGAGTAATAACACCTCTCTGGGACCGAGTAAGAGATCTCTGAGTAGACAGTTTTTCAGTTGTTGCTTGTTGCTGACTCAGCCTTGTTTGGAATTCATTGGTTTGTCTGCAACAGATTACCCAGATTGGTACCCAGTCTTTGTGTCACTTTTTGTCATTTAAAAAGGAGCCCAGCCACATGTCTCAGCTGAAGAAATGAAAATAACAGCTCTCTTTGGTGGACAGATATATTTTTAACTACATTCCTTTTTCCTACTTTTTGTAGTAGAAAGGAAAACAAATAACTTGATTCTGGAAAGCTTCACTTACGAGTTTCTCCTGGAAGTAAAAATGCATATGCACGTACACGTACACAGTTATACAAATTAGAGGGCATGGTTTGACATTTTGCTGAAAATTCCTAAGTTATAACTCCAAGTCAAAGGGTATTTCTGCTGACAACTCAATTTTCTTGGAACTCTTTTCTTTCTTTCCAAATAGTAAGTAGCGATTCAATGGGAAAGCCAAGATAGACAAATGAGGTCACTCAGAGTGTACAAAAAATGTCACCATTGTTCTGAGGGGCCAAGGATTTCATGTCAGAGTGAAGAAGGGGTGTCACGGATCAGGAATAGCTTTCTGGGGGTGACTGGCCCTCAACTGCAAAGAGGATAGAGTTGGTGATGTGGGAGCAGTCTTTCTAAAAACTATTTGGAGTTTTTAAAGCTAATATTTTGATGTTGTGACATTCAAAGACGGAACATAAGCAAAATGCCAAAATATTTTAAAGAATCCATCAATACTTGTAGTCTGCTGGCTTCCTTTTAGAAAAACTACATTATTCAAAGTGAAAAATGAATTAATTAGAACGCCCTCAAGACACAGAATCTGCTTAAGTATGTTAGTGAGAAAGTTAATTAATCACTGCAGAATAAGATCCACAGGAGAGCCTGTGTGTCAATGCTTGGGTTTGCCACACTTCTCTTCTCTTTATTCTTGTCCTTTTCCTTTATGGAACTGTTTTCTTGACGATGTTTTTTGTTCAAAGCTCTCTATGCATTTATGCTTTATCTGATACCTTCCATTTTTGGGTTTTTTTTTTTTCACTAAAATGTGTATTTCTGCAGTAAAGACATGAGCAACAGTGGTAAAGAAAGAAAGGTGAGTAAAGCATCACTTTGATTTATTTGCATTCAGTTTCAGACAAAAAGCTTTTTAGGCATTCTGGGGGATACTTTTCCATTTGGAAGAATTCTAAATACTCAGCTTTAATTATTTATACATTGTCTCTGAATTCTCAGTGGATGATTTAAAGGGACCGTCCCGTCGACTTTACCGAAGTAATGAGAACAGAGTAGCTTAAAGCTACTGTTACTACAAAAAGTGCCAACCACCAACTGATTTTAATTAGATTTAACTTTTGCTCTTGATGTAACACAACTTGGCTGTGCTGCCTCATATTAACAGAAGACGATTAATCATTTTATTTAAGAAAAGAACAGTGTGGGCCTGCACCTAAAGCACTGAATAGTGAGGTTAAATTTGTGCATGCTGAAATAATATTCAACTGAAGCATAGTTGGATCCTAGCCAGTGGCAGAGGAAAGTGATATCCCAGGGAGGACCCCGAGCCTCGCCAGAGCAGTTTCCTCATTCTTGACACTATGACATTTGGGGCCGGATAAGTCTTTGTTGTAGGTGGCTGTTCTGTGCATTGTAGGATGATTAGCAGTGTCTCTGGCCTCAGCCCGATGGATTCCAGTAGCACCACCACCACCACCCCTGATGTGACATTCAAAAATGTCTCCAGACTTTCACAAATGTTCCTGGGGAGGGGAGGTGAGACAATGCCGCTTCCAGTTGAGAACTGCTGCCCTAGAGGAATGTGCAGCTCTCCCCTTTTCTGTGCTGTCTGCCAAATATGGTCCATTTATTCCATGGTTGCCTCACACTGTTGAGGCCCCTAGACTGACCTCCCCCAATGCTTTATAATCGAGAGTGCAGTCCACCACTTCCCACCCAATCCTTCTGGCAGAACCGTGATTTTTGCCCTCTGCTCTTTTAAAGATTCATTGTAACAAAGTGAATGGCTCCCCTTTTTCAACAAAGTAGCAGCCAGTGTGCAGTATGCTTTCCTTATTTATTTGTTTATTGTCAGTCTTCCCTACTAGAATGTGAGCTCCACCACAGAGCAGGGCTTTTTGTCAGTTTTGTCCACTACTGTAGTCCTACTGCCTGGAACAGTGCCTGGCCCAGAGCAGGTGATAAATACTTGTTGATCCAAATGAATGAAATGTTGATGATCTAACTGGATTCCTGGCTTCTTGCCGGTTGTCTTGTCCAGTCTTTCTCCATGTTTGAAGTAACATTATCTCCCTCTTGGGGATTAGAAGGTCAAGGTAGTTTTCTTCCCTCTCGTTATCTTGTTCTCCAATGATGTAGAAAGTGATGTTGCTGGGACCACTGTCAGTGTTTTCAGCAGCATAACAAGCTGTTCCACGTCATCTCTTCTACTTTTCTTCCGCTTTCGCCAGCTTCGTTCTGACAAATTTGATCTAATTGCCGTGCTTATCTTTAACCTGCTCCTTAAATGACCCCTCGTTAGGGCTATTTAATACTAATGAGTTTTCCTCTGTCACACTAACTTTTCTCCCCCCACGCTCCAGTCCTTATAAGAAGAGAGCAGCTGTATGACAAAGCCTTCACTAAAGATTCCTTAATAGACCTGACTGCCTTGCTTTGATCACATAATCAACAGCTAATGGAATTGTCTTGGTAACAAGAGCTATAGTGTATTACATCCTCTCTTGAGACAAAGTGGAAAGACAGTTGCATCATCCCCCAGAAGAGGATTGATTGTTCACAATCTGAATTTGATTGTCCTTAAGGGGAGCTAAACAGGAGATCATCTCCAGCTTCTCTAAGTGCATTTTATTCTCTTGGAAAGTTACTGTTTTACCTTCCACACAAGCCAAGCATATAAACATCGTGCTTTGTTGCCGTTGAATCAAAAGGATGTATCAATTTTTTTCGGTATCATAAATGATACAGTTTGAGGAGCACCTGGATGACCTCACAAGGCCTCTCACTGTAGGTGTAGATCAAAGCATTTCATTGCACAGCTTCAAAAACTCTTTTTTCACTGCAGGAGGGAACCCTCGAGGACGGTTTGCCCTGGGCCTGGTGCAGAGTGAGTGGAAGGTCTATGTGAAGAGACCTCTAGATAGAGAAGAACAAGACATTTACTTCCTCAATATCACTGCCACCGACGGGCTCTTTGTCACACAGGCCATGGTGGAAGTGACTGTCAGTGATGTGAATGACAACAGCCCAGTGTGTGATCAGGTGAGATTTGCAGATACATTGCTGCCTCTTACTCTTCTTTTCTAAAATTAAATCAAAACCCATTTCACTTTTCTTCTTAAGGCCAGGCTAATTTCTGCTCTTATCTCCTTGATTAGTGAGCTCCAGTTGGATATTAGAGGGTAGGAGTTGGAGTCTGGGATGAAAGGTTATAAAGGAATAGGTAGCAAGATCAGGTACCTAATTTTGCCCCCGCCCAAAACAAAAACAAAACCATGAGTCTTAAAATTAAATAATTTTTAAGGAATCATAAAGGACCTTATGACTTATTCTGTCTAAATCACTGATTTCACAAAAGAGAAATGGACCACTCAAAAGCATAAGTTATTTGTTTAAATTTACATAGCTGGTTAGTGGCAATATTGGTAATAGACCCAGGTCTCCAGGTTCCTCATGGAGTAGGCTTTCCACTCCAGTACAAAACATGACAGCCAATGCAAGATGCCAGGACTAGATTTATATTCTTTCTTACTGAAATTAAATCATGATTAATTTACTTTTTCTTTACCATGTGGACCAAGAGACAGTATTGGTATTCTGTAGCTTATAAAAGTGTTGCGGGCCGGCCCCGTGGCTTAGCGGTTAAGTGCGCGCGCTCCGCTACTGGCGGCCTAGGTTCGGATCCCGGGCGCGCACCGACGCACCACTTCTCCGGCCATGCTGAGGCCATGTCCCACATACAGCAACTGGAAGGATGTGCAACTATGACATACAACTATCTACTGGGGCTTTGGGGTAAAAAAAGGAGGAGGATTGGCAATAGATGTTAGCTCAGAGCCGGTCTTCCTCAGCAAAAAGAGGAGGATTAGCATGGATGAGAGCTCAGGGCTGATCTTCCTCACAGAAAAAAAAAAAAGTGTTGCAAATATTTAATCTCTCATACTAATGCCAAGTGTTAGTGGTGGCTCTTTAAAGAGTCAGAGGGTCCCAAGGACTCACTGAGGCTTAACAGAAAAAGAGAACCATGATCAATATGTGATGTGTGTCCTGGTTCCACCAGGGCAGGGATTTTTATCTGTTTTCTTCACCATTGTATTCCTAGCACCTACTGTGTAGCACATAGTAGATGCTCAGCCAGTATTTGTTGAATGAATGAGCATGGGAGGGGTGGGGCAGCAGATATACCATGTTTCATCATATATTGTAAGATAGTTCCGTGCTGAAGGGAAAAAGATAGCAAAAGCTGTTATATGAATGCATTTTTAAAGAAATAATTTATAACGCTAAACATGGCAACTGCCCCACAAATACTGATGATTTAACTAGCTCTCTTTACTTTTGCTTAGGTTGCATATACAGCATTATTTCCCGAAGACATTCCATCAAATAAAATCATCCTGAAGGTCAGTGCTAAGGATGCCGATATTGGATCCAATGGAGATATACGATACTCACTCTATGGATCTGGAAACAATGAATTTTTTCTAGATCCAGAAAGTGGTAAGGTGAAATTTATTCTTTGAGTAAATGCCGTCGTTAAGCCATGAGAGAAGTGCAACTTTCACGTGGTCTCATCACTAGTGGGTAGTTAGTATACAAGAGACTTGATATGATGTCCTGCTATCTTGGACTCTAGAGAATCCTAGCTGCATTTGGTATCTGATGATGGGTGCTCTGGAACACACAAACTTTATTTGGCTTATAAAACTTGCCCTGACTTTACCTAGGTTTATCAGTGTCAAGTAATCAGATGTGTCTAGTCGCTCCTCCTGCTTCTCATGTTCATGAATTAAGGCATCTGTCCTAAAAAGACTATATATAAGATTTCACCACAAACGCACATTGCCATGAAAACCAGACAACAATGCATAGTAAGGAGAGTTTTTCTTTGTTAAAATCCCTTTTGGGTCCTTTCCTGATGCTTATTAACACAATTGTTTGGTTTTTATTAAACATTCCTGCTTAGTTTCTCCAAGGGTATGAGCCCTCAGATTTGCTTACATATACAGGTAAAACTTATAAGGTGAAAGGTTATGTAAGCTAAAGGCAGATGCCTGCATTGAAGGCCAGAGCTGATGGAAAAGATTTTTTCTATGGAAATAAATTATTTCAGTGTTGTATATTGGATAGTCCATCCAATGGCAATTTTTAAATGAATTGTAAAGATCGAATAGCTTGCATATTTCCAGTGCGGTGTTGGTCTGAGTGAACAATAGCTGTTGAGTCTCCAAAAGGTAGTATCTCTTCCCTGCCCCATTCCCATGTCATCTATATCCTACAGGGAAGCGCTGAGCTATATAGTAATATATGACTTGGCTGTATGGGGCTGATGATTGTTTATTCGATAGCTAACATTTATTGAGTAGGTAGTAGACGTAAAAGAACTTTGGGGATATCTGTGGTAGACTCCAAGATGAACAAAACAAACCATGCCCAAGGGATATTGTAACCCAGTGGGGAAGACAGACCAGTAAGCCAATAATAATAATAATAATAATAATAATGAAAGGCAGAATGAAATGAGTGCCCAGGAGAGATATCAAGGGAGTCATATCCAGGCACAGAGGAAGAAGTAGCTAATATTCTGATGAGAGAAAAAAGGAAACTGTTTTAAAGAAGAGCTGGCATTTGAACTGAGCCAGGATTCTAGGAGCTAAAAAAGGACACTGCTGGCCATGGGGGCTGCATGAGCAGAGAGCAGGGCACATCCAGGTAATGTCATGTACAACATTGTCACTGGTGAAAGGAGCTATAGAATGGCTAGTGAAAAAAGTAGTGGGAAAAATAACTTTAGGCCAGATCGTGGAGGGTCTTGAATACCCAACTGGAAAACCACTGGACATTTTTGAGCAGGAGAGGGAAATGATCCAGCTTATGTTTGAGAACTGGCTTTAGCAGGGAAGCCATAGGAGGAATTGCTTTATAAATATAGATGGCTTGGTCCAAATAATGTCTATGAATTTTATTTTTATTTAAGAGTAATAATATTTCATGAGTCGTACTGTTCACCAAATAGCATGTATTCAGGTCTGTCTCTGTGCTTGTTGTCATTATCTGTTGAAACTTAAACAACAATAAAAACCTCTCTACAGGGGCTGATGCCCAGCACCCGTACAGCTATTCCAATGGTTAAAATGCAGACATAACATCCCTCCATGCTGCTGTCCCAAGCTCCTCATGTATTCCTCCACTAGAACCCTCTCCCAGCAACCACAGGCCCTTCCACAATCCAGCAAGTAGGGTCCACCCTGGCACAGTAGGAGTCCTTCAAGACTTCTTTCTGCTAAAGTCATCCTCTGTTTTAATATTTCATTTTCCTCTAAAAGATGGGGTAAAAAGATGTTGAGTATCTGGAAGCAAAGAGACTGCCCCTTCTGGGTCTATGGATTATTGGCATGATTGACTATCAAAGAACTATCCCATTTTCTATGCTTTTTCTGGAGATATAGCAGAAATCAAATCATAGCTGATCTCTAGAGCAGATCTTGAGAGGTATAAAGAAGTACGGAGCTTCTCCGTGTAGCCAAAAGAAAGAACCCTTGATAACAGAGGTTTCTCGGTGGGATTAATTAATTTGAAGATCATACAGCTGGTTTGTTGTTGCATCCAGAGTCCTGTAAATTTTTCCCTGATGCTTAAAAAACTTGAATTTGCTCTATTTTTCAAAGTATGAGGCACTTGAGCCAAATGTTATTGGTCCTTTCTGTACTGGGGATTCTTTAAATAATTGATTCTCTGCTCTTCAAAGAAAGGCAGTTTTTGAAAAGCCAGGCCAACCGTGCCATCATATATTTTCCCAGGTGAGTTAAAAACCTTGGCTCAGTTGGACCGTGAGAGGGTCCCTGTGTACAGCCTGATTGCCAGGGCCACCGACGGGGGTGGCAGGTTCTGCCAATCCGATGTGCGCCTGATCCTGGAGGACGTGAATGATAACCCCCCTGTGTTTTCTTCTGACCACTACGATGCCTGTGTCTATGAGAACACGGCCACCAAGGCGCTGTTGACCAGAGTTCAAGCCACGGATCCCGACGTTGGTAAGTCAGCTGTCAGTTACACTGATGGGGTGTCTCCTTGTTCACGCATTTGACACATCTTCAGTTGCTGCCTTTCTTTTAGTTTGATCAGCCCACCTTGGTTCCTTATGAGAACATGTACATTAACCCACGTTTCAGCTCTTCCTCTGATGCACTTCATAGGCGTGAGAGAACTCTGCAAGATGTCCTCCCTCCTCTTTCTAGGGTTTGAAGAAGTGATAGTATGAATTCCTTTACCTTTTAACAAAGGGTTTGGGGATTTTTTTTTTAACCTTTAGAATAAAAATAATAGCTTTCTTACTGGCCCATTCCTCCTGAACATAGTTAAAATGCTGTTGTGTGTAGCAGGGAGAATTCGTTTCCACTTCTGTAAAGAATTGCATCACATGCTTCAGCTGAAATATGACAATCTTGATTTATTGTAGTGCCCCATAGTGCAAAGACCAATTACTAAATGTGCTGCCAGTCCAATGTGGATTTTTTTTAAACTGCTATTTTCCAGAGTATTTTGGTCATGTATAAACTGACATTACTAGGCAGGGTAGGGGTGGGAGAGATAAGAAGGAATTAGAATTGAAAGTTGCTAATAAAGTTTGTGTTCAAATCCACTTTACATATGAGATGGTGAGTTAGAAAAGACTGGAGTTAATTGCTAGGTAGTCATTCTGAGAATGCATAAGTTATTGAGGTGACTGCGTGATGGAATATAAATACGAGGGCATATAGACAGCCTCTTGGTTGTGCATTCTAAGAGCTGTAAATCAGAGGACTAGGGAATGATTGGGTGTGTCTGTTATGCTAAACAGGCCTTTATATAATTCAGTGTCTTATTGCTTAATTCTGAATTGAAAGAAAAATTATTGGACTAATGGAAAAGTAAATACATGATAATTAGTTGAAAACAAACGTAGAGCCCAGGGTCTCTGCCTATTTCCCCTTAGAGAAATTAGTGGCTACATTTTGAATTATTGCTCTTACCACGTTAGCATAATTTTCAAGGCTGAGAACCAACCTTTTAAAAGTCTGCATATTATAAAGCTTGGTAAAAAAATGGCAAACAGGAAAAGACTCTCTTATTTATATATAATTATGTAATAACTACAAAAACTCTTTTTTAAAGGAGGATTAGCAAACATTCTCTGGACTCTTACTAGAAGATTTTTGGGGAAAAGAGGACAGAAATCATGCAAATGAATCTCTTAATAATTTAAACTTGACTTTGAGACTGTGGATCATTGATGAAATTTTAAGACTTAAATTTTTTTTTATTTTAAATTAAATTAAAATTCCAATTTTTAAAAATTGGAATTTTTCTGCTCAGTTCCTCTATGAAGGAATTGGTTGTGCTCTAGAGATTGGAGACAGAAGGAGTCTGATTAGTGCACATGGTGTTTCAGACAGTGGGAGTGGGGAGATGTTATTGACTCATAGACATGGCTGTGGTGAAGAATAAATACACAGTTAGCTCTGTCCTGCTTTTCACTTCTTCTTTTTTTTTTTTTTTTTGAGGAAGATCAGCCCTGAGCTAACATCCATTGCCAATCCTCCTCTTTTTGCTGAGGAAGACTGGCCCAGGGCTAACATCTGTGCCCGTCTTCCTCCACTTTATATGGGATGCTGCCACAGCATGGCTTGACAAGCAGTATGTCAGTGCACACCTGGGATCCGAACCTGCAAACCCTGGGCCACCGAAACGGAGCAGGTGCACTTAAACACTATGCCACCTGGCCGGCCCGCCTCCTTTTCACTTCTGATACAGCTGGTTGGCATTTGGGGAAGAAGGGATGACTAGACTCTAGGCATTTAGCAGAGCAGAGATGAAAAGTCTTTAAAGGACCAAACCCAGAACAAGGACCTTATCAGCACCTCGCTCTGCTCATTTGCACTGTTAGCAAAAGGCTTACATTCAGAGCTTCAAATAGAGACAGAGATATAACTGCTGCTGACACCTGTATATAAAGTGAACTCACCAGGCCATTGTATCAGCATCCGGAAAACTCTAGCATAGCACACCAGATTCTGGTTCATTTTCTCAGTTTTTGTAGAACTCACTTAGCTTTAAAAAATAAAAGAACTGAGGGGCCAGCCCGGTGGCACAGCAGTTAAGTTCGCACGCTCCACTTTGGCAGCCTGGGGTTCACAGGTTCGGATCCCAGTCACACACCAACGCACCGTTTATGCTGTAGCAGCGTCCTATATAAAGTAGAGGAAGATGGACATGGATGTTAGCCCAGGGCCAGTCTTCCTCAGCAAAAAAGAGGAGGATTGGCAACAGATGTTAGCTCAGGGCTAATCTTCCTCAAAAATAAATAAATAAATAAATAAATAAATAAATAAATAAATAAATAAATAAATAAATAAATAAATAAATAAAATAAAAGAACTAGAATAGCTGGGGAAGAACAAATGAACACTTCTGAAAACACAAACTGAGCGCCTACTGTGTCCCAGGCACCACGCTGAGGAAGTGGGTGTGAAGGTCTCCGTCAGAGCTTGCAGGGGGATTCCAGGAGCAGTGGCATCAGTCTGAGCTGTGATAAAACCGACATTCTCCAGAGTCCCTGGGTATCAGCGACTGGCGGCTTATGCCATTTTCATTAGCAGCCTGGTCAGAACACTTACTTCCCCAGGAGTACCCATTTCTCGCTCTTTCATAAGGGACCAGAAACAAGGGTGAGCTGTGTACTGAAGTTTACCAGGTTGTCGAGTGGGCAACTCACCTGGGGTCCAAACTGAACCTCTGACCTGAGGCTGTTTGCACACGAATCGTTAGACTAAATCCAGCCCTCTAGTGTCTTTAATTTGGCTTATATACAGTGTTCAAAAAAGTTTGAATTAGTTGTCAATACTTACAAGTCAGGAGATTTTTATTAGAAATTTCCATTTCTGGCATTTTATAAAAACAGCAACAGCGCTGAAAAGACTCAGCAATTCCAGGCACCGTCCCACAATGGCAGAAGCTAAATAGCAGCCGCCTCCTTGATATGAGCCAGCCCTCACCCTCCCGATCCCCAGCCACTTCGGTTGTTTCTGTTACCGCCTGTCCTCACAGGCGTTCACAACCCCTTCTCTAAATGACAAGGAAATGTGTGATTTTTTTTAACTTTTTATTTTCAAATAATGATGGGTTCACAGGAAGTTGAGAAAAATGTACAGGCGGTCACACATACCTTTCACCCAGCACTTCCCGCCCAATGATGACGTGTCACATAAGTGAAGTACACTGTCAGATTCTGGCGGATGTGTGTGTGCATTCTAAGCAGTTTTATCACCTGTGCAGCTTCATGTAACCACCACCACATTTGTCCACAAGGTTCCCTCCTGCCACCCCTTCATAGCCACACCGACCTCCTTCCCGCACATCTTTCCCAGTCCCTAACCCCTGGCAACCACTAATCTCCATATCTGTAATTTTTTAATTTCAAAAATGTTATTTAAATGGAATTATATAGTCTGTAACCTTTTGAAATTGCCTTCTTTCACTCAGTATCATTCCCTTGAGATTCATCCAAGTTGCCTAATTGATTGATCCTAGTGAAGAACATTTGTGCAAATAATGAGGCTTTTTGGTTCATGAAACTTCTTTTAAGCATATTCTTTTTTTTTTTCCTGAGGAAGATTCGCCCTGAGCTAACATCTGTTGCCGATCTTCTTCTTTTTGCTTGAGGAAGATTAGCCCTGAGCTAACATCTGTGCCAATCTTCCTCTATTTTTTGTATGTGGTTCACCGCCACAGCATGGCTGCCAATGAGTGGTATAGATCCATGCCTGGGAACTGAACCCAGGCCGCCAAAGTGGAGCATGCCGAACTTTACCACTAGGCCATGGGGTCAGCCCCTAAGCATATTCTTTCACCTGAATTTATAAATTATTTCACCAGCATTTGGCTACAGTATATACTAAGTATAGTCACTATAGCTTGCAGAGAAAAGACAAGGACTATGTATTAATCGGCAATCTGATTCCATAGCTTCATGAATTCAAAGCTCTTACACATGACTTGCTAAACTTCCATATCCTGGCTTTCTAATTCTAAAAATATTATTGCTTTTAGCCAAATAACTCTTTCCTATGCCAAATTCATTATTCATAATGAACCAAGACTTAATGTTAGAGTAACTATCTAGGTCAGGAATAAAATAAAAACAGAGGAGGACAAGATAATCGTAACACCCATTTTATGAGTTCTAAGAAATAGCTTGGCAACTTCTAGATTTTATCATCAAATTCTTAGTTTTCCTGTAAAATGGTGATGTCCTCAATTCCATGACTTTATGACCTAATATTTATAAAAATTTAATCTTTTCAGTAAAGATTAGGAGACCTTGTGTTTCACTACTCTTCGGGGTCAATATCTTATGATTTGATCTACCTCTTAGAGATAGGATTTGTTTCCAGGTTCCCAATTTTGAGGGGTTTTTTTAAGCTGGGAAAGGGAATATGCAGTCATGAGGATTAGAGCTAAAATCTACAACCATCTTAGGCAAAGTGACATGAAAATAAAATGTAAATCTGCACTGGAAAATATACTGTAGTCCATGATGTATTGAGAGGCCGATTTCCAGATATTTGAGATACTAGAGGACTTGTTTTTCTTCTCGTGGATCAGGGACATAAAGCAAAGAAATGTTCTAATAAGCAACTCACTTATTCCTTTCCTGTAAAATATTTTCTGCAAGGTTTGGAACTTCTTTCAGGGATTTCAGAGGAACTTAGAAGCTCGTAACACACATTACAGTTGTTTTCCATTCAATTTAACAGATATTTAATGAGTGGCTAGGTAGTAGGCACTACAGAAGGAACTGCAAGATTCTCAAAGATGAGGAATGTGCAGTGGCAAGCCTTGGGTCATATGCAGTAGTGAAGGGCATGAATCAGAGACACACATGCCTTAAATAAAAGGCCAAGCTCCTAAAATAAATAGGATTTCAGCAGACAGAGGTAGGAAGGCATTCAGAAAGACAGGAACCCGAAGGATAACGTCATATAGCTGGGAAAGC